CCAAGCACACAGTCCCCCAAGGCAGTGGTCAAGGTGAATGAGGTAAATTGCAACAATGAAGTTATCAGTTTTAGACACACTTCATATACCTAAACTAATACTAATCCCTTTGTTTTGCTTCACTGCTTTAACATTATATATCATAAATTTAATTAGGTGAGTGATGCCTGAACTGATGTATTCATATTTCAAAAGCCTGTAGATGGAATAGGAGCAAGCCAAACTTAACTGAGGTGAGATTTCTTAAGATTTCTTCTAAGACTCATGAGAGGTCTTAGAACAAAGTACTCCCAAATGACTTATTGTTCCAACCAGTGTTTCTTCAAAATGAGTCTTTAGCATAGAGTAGTGACCCCAACTGAGTGATAACAAAGTCGAATGGAAAAAATCATAAGCCCTATAAATACATTAAATAATTTGATACTTCTTTAATTGAGAATAAAATCTCTGCTTGGATTTTGCATTAAACCAGTTCAGTTTTTAAAGAATAATGCCTAAAGGTTTCCTAGTTACCTGAAGAACAAGATAGGTGAACCATTAAGAGCTCACTATTGAGTCTCAAGTATACTTTATGTCAGCCTTGATCTCTCTCTGGATGTACTAAAACCAATAAACTTAATCCATTTGTGCTGTGTGAAATCAAAGTAGTTGATCATGTCTGGAATGGATTGTCTCGCTCTTCATCAGCCTTTCTGACCAGATATGTCCTAAGAAGAAAACAGCAGACTGGACCTTACATGCAACTTCATCACTTGGGGGCACGTGGTTATTTCATTAAAAGCTGCAGCAAATTAGGTCTTCACTGACACAGCAATTCTGTTGGAAAACTTATACACCATATTGCCAGTACACTGTGTAAGTCACTAATGTGAAAAAGTTTATCTTCTGTATTAGACAGACTGACACAAAACAAAACTTTGGCTGTCAGCGATGGAAAGAAGTAGATGCTAAAACATTTTTATATTGAACTTCTGGAAATTTAAGATAAATTTCTCCTTTTAAGAAAGAAAAAAAAAAAAAAAGAGAAATAGAGAGCAATGAAACTACTTAAAATTGCCACTTACTTTCATCTAAAAAGAGTGCAGTTTAGCTCAACAGATAAAATGTTGCTTAAAAGACAGTCTCATGGGCAAAATGTAACACACAAAAACATGTATTTCACACTCCCAAATGGAGAATGTTCTCCACAGTGCAGCTGTCTTTCAGAAACTGCAAGTCATGCCAAATCAAACTAAAAAGTAATAACCCAGTTTAAATTTGTAGGATACTGAAGCAGCAGAAATGCTTAAGTAGCATAATGATAAAAGAATATTAAATCTCTTCAAATTTATCAGAAACAGGCAGTCTGCGAAGGAACTTGCAAGTCCAAGAAACAAACAAATATGAAAGGAACCTTTGAGAACTTGAAGGCAGTGTCAAATTTGACAAAAGTCAAATTATTTGCTTCTCATACACAGCTTTCCAAAAGCTTTTAATACCTAGGGATGAATGAACAAGGACCTGCTTGAAATATTTTAGAAAAAGAATTGTGAATAAGGACCAAGTCATTAGGATTTAATAGTACTTTTTATGACCAACTGCACAGCATGAAGTTGAAGAATAGTAATGTCTCAAAAAATCTTGACAAGTCTCTGAAGGAGTCAGCACCTAAGTACAGAGCATGACTCAAAGAAGCACTATTTTAAGGTTTCAGATAGGTCCTTCAAGGGCATATTTTTTTTTTTGTTTTAGTTAAAAAAAAAAAAAGCAGAACCCTGCCTGCAGACCGCAAAAGATTTCAATTCTGACAACATCCTTGTGGACAGAGCAGAAGATGGAATGCAATGCCTTTTAATGCATGACAAATAAATCTGGAAAGGATTTCCAACCCTAATTCTAAGATAGCTTCTGATTCCTTCAGAAAGTTCTGGAAGTGTAGACATCTCACTGAAAACATCATGCCAAGCTATCAAATGCAAACAAACTTACTGATTAATGAAAACAAGAATGAACATTTAGAAATTAGTCTATACTGAATACTATCAATTAACATTGAACCTGAGAGGAGCAATATTTAGAAGTCCTGCACAGGGCAGATATAAAACCACAATCACATAATGCAAGACCAAATAGACTAAACCTAGTCCTTGAGCACGACTGCAGGGGACACAGGTCTAGAGAACAACTCGCAAGAAAATGATTCATTTTTTCTCACAAGAGGAACTAGTTGTCAGACAGGTTTAAGATAATGAAGAGAAAGTACTTCCGTATACCCTTTACATTCAGTTTTGTCTTTTAATAAAATGCAAGTCCAGAGAAAAAGAAACAGGCTTAGGCAAGCCTAGCAGGCCACAAACAGAAGAAATCACTACTCACTCTTCAGTGCATGTTTAAGGTAACTCAGTAGGGGATAAATCTGACCATGTGTGTGTGTAAACATATACTTGTTTGGTCCTAAATTCATACTAACCATTTTATGTAAAGACCTACCATTGAGGAAAATGTTTTTAATGTTTACTTAGGCATAAGCAACTGAAAACCACATACAAGCTTCCAATTGGCCAACAATATGGTAATGGCCAGTCTTCGCGAACGAAGAACCGGGGAAGGTCTTTACACCTTCCAGCCTGCGCATTGGATTTTTTTAGGTGAGACACAGTGTGCGCGGAACTGAGCCCACCCTTTAATCCTAAGGTTCATCTGTCGGGGCCAAGCACGCTTGGACGGTGGCAGCGAGGTCCTCAGGACGTAGATGGATTGCCTTACAGGGCTAACGAGCTCCATCTGCCCGGGGAGTGGCCCCGACCGGGAATCGAACCCGGGTCTCTGCAGTGACAGTGCAGCGCCTTTACCCCTAGACCACCAGGGGCTCCCCCAACAATATGGAACTTGCTCTTCAAGGACTTTTCTGCTGATTGTGCTTTACATGGAATACTGCAACATTTTCCTTTTTGCTCTTTTAAAATAAGCAAGTAATGGGATTCTTGATAACTTAGAACCATAGAATCAGCCAGGTTGGAAGGGACCTTTCAGATTGTCAAGTCCAACCCTTGATCTACTACCACTTACATGGTTACTTACATGGTTACTAGACCATGGTACTAAGTGCCACTTCCCATCTCATTTAAAAACCTCCAGAGATGGTGAATCCACCACCTCCCTGGGCAGCCCATTCCAATGCCTGATTACCTTCTCTGTAAAGAATTTCTTCCTAAGATCCAACCTAAACCTTCCCTAGCAGAGCTTAAGATCATGTCCTCTTGTCTTACCGATAGTTGCCTGGGAGAAGAGATCGATGCCCACCTGGCTATAATCTCTTTTCAGGGGGTTGTAGAGAGTGATGTTTGCCCTGAACCTCCTCTTCTCCAGGCTAAACAACCCCAGCTCCCTCAGCCTCCTCTCATGGGGCTTGTGTTCAAGTCCCATCACCAGCCTGGTTGCTCCTCTCTGGATCTGCTCCACCACCTCAATATCCCTCCTGAACTGAGGGACCCAAAACTGGACACAGCACTCCAGGTGTGGCTTCACCAGTGCTGAGTACAGGGGCAGAATCACTTCTCTGACCCTGCTGGCCACCCTGTTCCTGATACAGGTCAGGATGCCGTTGGCCTTCTTGGCCACCTTTACTTGTTCTTTACAGCTTGAGAAAATCCTTTTGTAGAGAACATGCAATAACACATCCAGCCTAATGAAGTAATTTAGGAGTTGGTTGGTTGATCTTACTGCTTGCGTTACAAAATAATTCAGAAAATCCAGACATTAGAATAAAATACTGAGGACCACTTTCAATGGATTTGTAAATTTAACAATAATTTTATCAAGTTTGCATATAGCAAGAGAATGTTTTTGTGTGGCAGCACAAGAGTGTTTTCATCCATGAAACAAAGCCTTCATACAGTAAAGGACCTCAATAAGAAACTTTCAGAACACACAAACTTCTGGTAGCAAAGTCACATTTTATTTCAATTGGTCCACAAAGATAGTAATAAATTAAAAAAGTTTTTGTTAAGAAACCTGTTTCAACAAATGGTGAGGTTCCTGTTTACACATGATCATTGAAGACATGTAGTTTTAGACATTGCTTATCTCAATTCCACTTCCAAGATGATACATTACAGGTGACAAGTGGAGTCATCTCATATGAAGTCATACATCAGCCATGCAGAAAATCATAAGCTGGGGTTTAATATCAGTTCAGGTCCCTGGCACATTCTGGTTTCCTCCCTGTAAAAGAAGTTCTATTTAATTTGCAGTCAGCATCATGCACACAGGAAAGGGGCGACTGCCCTAAGGTTGAGCTATATGAACCTTCTACATGACACTAACCTTTAAGTCAGAGTCATTTTTCAATACAAATTACTTCTTTTGTACAGGATGGGATTTTCTTTTCACGTACCATTAATATGGATTCCATTCCAGAGGACCAGCCTTATAAACAGATCCAATAACTATCCCAAGCTTTCCTGAGATGTTTTCACTATTTAGATTACCTAACTCTATATCAAGTTTTAACAGTTACCACATAGGTTTTCTATTAGTTCAAACTACTGTTTTGTTTTCCAGTAAGGAATAAATTAAAACTCTTTTAGATATAGAAGGCAATGCTTTCACTAACGTCTGATAATCCTTTTCAATTTACATACCTGGAGACCAAACAATCTACAAGAAACTCTTCACTGAAGACTTTTATCACATAGGTTCACAAAGAACCAGATTTGAGAAACCTAAAAAAGATTTACATGAAATTGATATTAAAACTCAGATAATATAATCAGATGACAGTTGAAAACCTTCCTATAGGCTATTAATAAAGTTGATTTAGCAGCTTCATTAAGTTTAGTAATTTCATGAACGTGTTCCTCCCAAGCATGATCCAAAGAAGGGTTTCAACCTCACCTCTGGGTTTGCAGGAGAACTCTTATACCCCTCTGTGTTGGCCACTTAAGACACTGCCAGACTTAAGAGGGCAAAGCATAAAAGGGGAGTAGATTACACTATTTTATATTGTTTTCTTATTAACTAAGATGATCTGAACTTGCCATTTACTCAAAAGAGATATTACAATTTAATTGAAATTTGTCAATTATCAAAGACCAAGATTTAAAACTATCTGCAACTGTCATTAGACTAGAGCACACTTACCTTCCAGTAGAAGGTATTTATTCTTAAGAAGTCCTGAGCTTTTTGCTTCACATTTAGGTCTGATTATCCATGTTTAGAATATTTATTGCATGAGGCCTCTAGACAACACACAAAAAAATTAATAAGATTATGGTAAAATTATTAGTGTTTAGACCTTCTCAAAGCCATATGATACAGAGTTGCTACTATGTTGGGTTAGACTTTTACAGTAATTTTCTACACAATTGCAGAGGTTGTCTACATGAAGCTTATTGTCAAATCAAATGATAATCAGTTTTTCAATCTGTCTAAAAAGTTGTTTTCATTAGTCTATTTAAAATACATAAAATGTATGTTTAATATCTTTTCAAATATACTACTTATCAGAAACATGGAAAATTTATTAAGCCTAAATTCCTTTTTGTGCTGACCCTACCCTTAAACTACAAATATCCAGATTAGACTGATCTTTACCAGAGAATTCATTGCTACCTTGTGTCTACTTATATATACATACATAGCTTGTAACAAGTTATACACAGAGCTCGACTAAGCAACATCAAAAGACACTGTTACAGATGCAATAGAAGACGGGAAAGAAAGCCCAAGCAGTAAGGGACTACTTTGTTTAAGTTATTATCACGAGAGTCGTGCCTACAGCATTCAGTACTCTCAACACTGCAGGGTATGAGTGTAATATTCTTGATGTAGCCTGTAAAAACATAAAACCACTGCAGTGAATTAGATTCATGATCTGTGCAGCTCAATACCTGCAATTTAAAGAACAGAAGGGTGCAAATGTGTACAAACACATTTTTGTCTCAGAGACGTAGGGCAGCATCTCCATAAATGTCTTTAAAAAGTCTCGAGATTTAAAGCCTATTGAAGCCAGAAGCCTTTTCTAGCCAGCCCCAGGCTGTGGGGTAGCGAATGATGTCGGTGTGCCCCTCACCCATGGGCGTCCAGAGGCGTGCCCGCAGCTCTCCAGCGCTTCGCCGGGCCCAGGCCCGCCGCGCCCGGCCTCCGGCCCGACCGGGACATGGGAAGGAATCGCCGGTGCCTCGGGATACACTGAGGAGGGAGAGAGGCGTCAGCCCAGGACAGTGAGGAGGCCGCGGAGAGGAAAAGGAGGGAAGGGCCGTTTGTGCCTCACGACAGGATGCAGGACGGAGAGGAGGGCTCCGCACTGGGTTTTTGTGAGGGAGAGCTGTTCTATCCCCCTGTGTTGACTCCCCGGAGCACTGCCAGGCTCCGAGAGGGCAAGATTTGAAGGGAAGGCAGCGCAAGTCCCGCAACCCCCCTCCTCCCTTCCCCCCCACCCCACGCCAGCCCGTCCTTGCGGAGCGGCCACGCCGGCCTTACCGCGCCCGCGGCCGGCAAGGAGAAAGGGAGGACGGCTTCCCACGTGGCCTTAAATACCACCTCGCGCTCCCGCGAGACCCCGCGCGGAGCGAGCCGCCGCTGCCTATTGGCGGGGCTGGCGCGCGTGACCCCGCGCGGCGTAGGGTGGTGCTGGTGAAGTCCCCACCTCAGAGGCCCTGAGGGCAGAGCGCCCCGCGGGGGCGGGTACGGTACGGTACGGCCCGGCCCGGCCCGGCCCGGCCCGGCCGGTACTCCTGCCCCGTTGCGGTCTGGGGTGAGGGGGCTGCCTGCTGCCGCCTCTGTGAGGAGCGCTCCGGTCACCCCGCTGCGCTCCCCGCGGCGCTCAGTCAGGCGAAGCCCTAACAGGTCACAACGGGGCTTTCGTCGAGCCGAGCTCTGCGTGCTCGGAAGCCCCCAGCACAGCAAAACAAAAGCGTGTTCGGTGAGAAGTGGCAGCTGTGTAGCGGTTTTGAGGCAATAAATACGGCTGATCTCTGTCTAAACTCCCGTCTAAACCCTGCTTAGGAAGCTTAGGAGCTATCTGTGAGGACGGCGAGGAAAAGCCCCGATCCTCGCTAATGCCCCTGTTAGAGCACATGCAGCTCGCTCCGGGGCTGCAGGGCACGGGTGACACGGTGGCACCAGGCCCGTCCTGCAAGGCAGCTCTCAGCGTGGGTGCAGAGCACTGCTGCTGCTCTGCCCCAGCTAAAATGGGCTGCCCGGCTGGGGATGCT